ATTTATGATAATAGTGATAATTAACATCAAATCAACTTAGCTATCTACAAGCCGTGATCAACAACTTATTAATGGGCCCACCAAACCCTAATCTAAGGTTTGCATTTTTTGAAAGATAGAAAGCAAAGTATAAGCTACCTGAAAAGGGAAATTTTGAGATATTATACCACATCTAACTTCAATTTACTCATAGATAAGAGTAGTAATTTTTTTGTCATATGCATATTATTGATGATTATGTGATATTTTGATGATTCTGTTACACAACTAATAACACAAGTATCTTCGTTCTTGTGTAGTTTCCTTCCAGAACGGTCATCCTCTTGTTTTATCATCCCTCTCATGTTGTCAAACTAGTGGTGTAAGGGTGTGTTATTTTAACTTGATTTTTACTAATCTAAACTTAATTAAACTTATCTGAAATTATTACAACTTATTTTTGTTGTAATTTGTACTTCAGTAAACCTTATTAACCCTTTAGTGTAACTTTTTTTTTCTTTCTTTTTCTTTCTTGAATTTACCTTATTCGACCTAAAAAAAGTGAAAATAAGATGAATAGAACAGGCTCAATGAGCCATGCCGAGTAACACCCTCTTCATATTTATTTAACTTATTGGTTAAGCCCAAGTTGACTCAGCTCGTTTAGGAGGTTATAGTGCATGTTTAATTTGTGAGTGGCTTATTATTAATCAAGTTGTATTTTATACGGAGTATTGAACAAGAAGCTACAAAAATTGTAAACTCGAGTAATTTATCAAACATAATAAATGAACACCAACATTTTTAGTCGGTTTGATCCTGGGTTGTTTATTGAGAATTACAACCCGTTACGCTCTAATCATGGCAATTTAAGGGCATTTTTTGTTCATGACTATTTTATTACCACTTAATATCATCTATGAAAGTGACAAATTTTCTTTAAAATCTTTACACAAGAGTTTTTGCGAAGAAGAGGAGTAGATACGCATTTAAATCTTTACATTTAAATTCATTACCATTACTACTAGTCGTATTAGTTATCACCTAACCAACATACTCCATATTATAAAATCTTTTACATTATATCTAGTCCAGTGGCAGACAAAATCTATAATGGTATTCATTTGACTATTGAGCAAGGAATAAATTAAATGAGCTAGTAATTATAGAAGAGACACTATTCTAAAATTTCCGCTTTGCTTTAATGACATTCAATTCTTGTAACACCATTTTGATGATAACTGGCTCATTAAAACAAATATGCAGATTGGATTGCAACTCATGTGCTTGGAAAATGACATATAATGCGTTTGTATAAGAAAATAAAATTGAAAAGTTAAAATTAAATTAGACATTAATATTAATATTCAATATGAAAAATGTTAGATTAGATATTTATATTCAATCCTTAGTACGGGATACTCCGTACTTTTGTACAGTTTATCATAATGTATCCTTTTTTTTTGGGTAAGATGCTATTAAAAGAGTGGATGTATAACTGAGTCATATTCCGTATTGTCGTCTATATCATTAGTCCTTTATGACTCTCTTTATATCAAATAGAGTAATATGCGTAACATTATGTCTCTATTATCACAGGCAATACACTATATGAGCCCATATATACCATATTCAAACTTTTAAGAGGTATTCTTTGTAAAAAGTTTATTTTGTTGGTTTACTTTTGGCTGATCGTGCACAATGTTTTGAAAGATTTACTAAAGTAATTTTTGTGAAAAAAATTTCACACGCCAGATACAAAATTACTTTCATTAAAAAAGTTTATGAAGTGCTCGTAAATACCAACTACTTATTATTATAATAAGCTTTTAACGAACAATTAGAAATCTTAATGAGTAATATTTAGCTAATTAATAAGGTGTGTGTGACAAAGGTTCGTTTAATGTGTATGAAATTATTTATCAAAGTGGACATTGAAATAAACTAAATTCGAACTAAAATGATTGAGAAACACGTACTTTAGGTAAGATATATTGATGATATTTATAGATCGCAGAATTGTGAGTTAACATCACACTTAAACGTGGGACCTTTAGATACAACACGTCAACTACTAGACCATTCTTAATACAAGTTCCTTATGATATGTACTGGTAAGGTATCTTAAATCAATGGAATGACGAATAAAACTCGGAAATGTAGGCATTTCCTCTGTATAATGTACCTTTAAGGAGTGTAGCCTTGTCCAACCAAAATTGTTACCTCATGCATATGCAATTAAACATCATTCATGCCAATGTCGAAAAAATAAAATCTACATAGATGGGCCTCACATTATATGTACTAATGTACTACTAGATTTAGTTTTATTCTGCAAATAATTGCATATAACAAGCTGGTTACAATTTGGATGAATATACTGTTATATTGAACATTAGTGAGTTGGTGTAATACCAGCAAGAAAAAGCTACAGTTGTAAAGCTAAATCTTTTATGTATGAAATAGTGAAGAACAGCTACATTTGCATGAGGCCTCAAACCTAATCTCATCAATTTTTAAGCCAAACTTAAAAGAAAAAAAAAATGGATTATGGAGAAATTTCTCTTCAATCTAGCAAATACCACACTAAATTACCAATCAAAAGAAAAAAATTACTCCTGTCACGTACGTTAAAGGCAATTTTAAAAAGGTTGGAAAAGGGATTTTTCTTTTTAAAAGAAGGAATGTAGTTTTTCCCAAGAAGGGCAAATAGAAAATTTCTATAATAGACAGGTCATTTCTATTGTTTATAAACTATTTCTATTGTCTTCTTATGGTTGCTTAATAAAAGAAAATTGTGGGGAAGGTAATCCTGCTAATTGAAAAATAAGTGAATTTTTTCTAACTAATCATCTAAAGACAACTTATTCACCAATCTACAACAACCTATGGATGTCAGTTATCTTCCTAACTAACAAGTGACATGAACAACAAAGACAGAACAATCAGTGTAGTTAAAAACAGTCTAAATCTTACATGTATATACTTATATTTATATCTTTTATTTTATTTAATCTCTGAATTTATATTCTGATTTTCTGAACTTTAGCAATTGACAGGACTACACGCATCAATTGGCTGCTGATAACTTGCAAAGTTATACATCTAATATTTGTGATATTGTTTAATTAAGAGAAACAAAGGATAAACGTGTTTAGCTTTAGGATTATAAAATCAACTTTTAACGGATAGAAAACCAACTTTAATGAAATTGACATCCGTACATTTATATGAGATAATATTATTAACAAAAAGCAATTACCTAGCCTCTCAAGTAACTACATCCTACAAGTTTCTAATTTATTTACAAAAAAAGAAATCACAAGTTGACAATCTATTAATTTTAATTCTCATTTCTTCATAAAGATTTTCATGAAACTAACCTCATATTTGATTCTTACTTACAATTATTATGTAATAATAAATGAGCAATGCAATCTACAGTAACACTTAAAATTACCCTTAATAAAATTAAGAGTAAGATGAGAAAAAAGAACTTAGTGAGGGTAAATTTGTTGTTTTATCACTTATCCTAACTTATTTCTCATACATATCAAACATGGGATAACATTTATCTATTCTTATCCCACCCGGTTTAAGAATGGTTTTGCAAAACACATCTCATATGACAATGTCCATAGTAATACTTCAACTCTAAATTTGGGTGTTTTAACATATACAGGTTATTTTCGTGGTGTTATTTCATATACAGGTTATTTTCGCTACCACTCAATATAACTCAAAAATGATTAAAGTTGTATTACTACGGGCAGGGCGACTTCCCTGGCATAATTTGAAACAATCCCATTACCCTAACGAGCCTTGCCACCATATGGTAAACAAATACACAACCTTCTGATCATCAATCAATGTCACGAAAATCTGCTTACAATCCAATTATTGCACATTGCACCTAAAGAAAACAATTTATGCTGTTATAGTCTATCGGTTTCCATGTCAGTATATGAGAATTTCTAGAATAAGAACAGTTACATATACTATCACTTGCAAAGATCGATCACTTCATTTATTTGATGTGAGTGACGCTGGTCACCTTCAAACTAAATATTCATGCTAATCATGCATACATAACAAAATTTAACTAATCATATGATATAAAAAGCTTTCACCAAGATTCCAATAAGCTTAACATGAAATACTCTGAACCTAGCAGTCTATCACCGCTGCAATGCGACATCTATAGCAAGCAAGAATCCAAAATTATGGTTGTAGTCTGACAGAGCCCGAGAGGCCCTTACATTCTGTGGCTGTCATTTATGTTCAATCAGAAATTAAGCATATCCTAATCTATCTATTACTGGCTAATTCTATACAAAAATGTTAGTAAGACAGTTGATAACCAAGTATGAAATGACAAACCTCCATGAAAAACAAACAAGAAAAAATCTACCCAAAGATTACTGAAGACAAGGATAGAAAAACAGAGTTTTACGCGACATGCTAAATAGCACTCCCCGCCATAGCTATTATCTACATGAAAATCTCCTAAGCAGGTGGTAAAAGAGGCTTCTTAAGTACTTCATCAGATTCTCATGAGATGGAAAAAAATAAGTGTATCTTGGATAACTTAAGAGAGGAGATAGATTGGTCCGGTTGCAGAGATCGTGCTTTAAGAGGTTATGTTTATAGAAAAAGAAAACATCTTTGCTAATAAGGACAGCCCAATAAGGGTGCATAGGAAGGTAGATCCTCTTAAACCCACATATTAATCATTCCTGGCATAATGATAAGAATTCTTATGATCAGCTAACAGAGGCAGGGGAATTGATTCTTAGATAATTTTTCAGTAGAAAGTGAGCAAAGTCATAAAATTAATAGCATGGAAAGAAAAGCATACATGTGCATTCCTTAATTCAGATAGTTTAAAAAATAATAGGAAGATGATATAAAAAAATAAATGTCAATATTCATGCTACATGATTAAATCTTGTGTCTGAGTAAATTATGAAATAAGGCCAAGACCAAAAAAAAATATGGGTAAGCTATAGAAGTCACCTCTATAGATAAATACAGTTTTATATTGACCAATAGAACTATCCAAATTTAAAAATAGAATAGTGTTCCAGTAAGTTATGTACAGAACATACAGCCCTGACCTCTAATTCCAAACTAAAGCTCTGTTGTCTGAATAGAGGCATCACTCAGCGAGAAGAGCCCACCTGAAATCGCAAAGCATAGAATGCATTGGTTGCCCAGTTCGTAAACAAATAAAAACAGAGCAAAGACAGTTTACAAGGAGAGATGCACAAAAAGGCGAAAGAAAACACAGGATGATGACTACAATGCTTGCCTTATTAACAATTCCAGTACATGACAGCAACTTTGGTAGGCGACACTAAATGTATGTCAAAGCAACTCTTTCCCAAACATCTTCCAAGCATATTATATCTTTACTAAATTCCATTACCACTCTTCTAGAGGAGGTAGTGTGGTAATGGGAATTAGGAAGAACAGGACATTTTTCACCCCTTCAAGCACCCCGTCTTGCCAAAATTACATATAAAGTCATTAACATCACTGCCATTTACAACTACCAAATGACCCACGCATGTAATCATGGAAGTATATAAAACTAATAAAGTGTGGATTTGCTGTGGAACAAGAAGCTGTGACTTAAAGCAGAAAAAAAAAAATGCATAAATCTAGATACTAATTCCTCATTGGCAACTATGGAAAGGAGCCAAGGATGGATAATAAGAATTGTTTTACTCAATAGGTATAACCATGGCAAGAATTCATGAAATCGTCAGGTAATAAAGCACAAAGGCTTAAGCATTGGTTGTTATTGGCAAGGATGGTAGAACAATGGCATGTGTAAAGACTGTAAACCACCAGATTTTACCCAAAATGCAACTCAAATAGTAAATCTGAACTATAATAAACAGCCAACAATTTAAACATTTCCACTAAATGTAAAAATCTGATTAACTTATGCTACCTGTCCAGTGAAATTGTTCAACAAGCCAACATGTATGAGAAGGCCGAGCGAAAGACACAGCAACATTTTGTAATTCATCATTATACCACTGGATTGCCTTAACCTCGCCTTTACCTTCATTATAACACTTTGGCTAACCAAATCCAGTGTTCTGATAGGGAACATGCAAAAATTCTTTGTCTAAAATCTAATCCTTTAAAACTCGAACTACTATGCCAGTTGGAGTCTGACATGTCTGCAGGTGACCTGAGCCAATTAAATCGCGAAGATGAAATCTCATGTCAAGGGGAGAAAATCGAAGGCGCTTTTTCTCAAGTAAAGCCAGCATCATTTCCTTGTATTTCCTGCGATTCAGAAATGACAGCAATTCCTTTCTCCCCTGGACAAATATCAAGCAAAGAAGAGTCATTGGACTCTATGTCTCTAATACGGGCAATACACGACACTGTGAAGAGTGGATAGCTGAAAATAGATTTTATAACAACTAATAAATAGTTCTATAACGTACATCCTAATATATAACAGTTGAACAATAACATCCAAAGCCTTGGAATCATTTATGGTATCCAACCATCCATGTAATAGTAACTTTGTGATTTTTTCAAAAGAAAAATAAATAAGAAAATAACATTTTAGTATTTTACCTTCTGTCCATATCCCCCCCCCCCTTTGATATATGAAATATTTGTACTAGGAGACAATTATTGCAAAGGTTAAGGGTTTTCTAGTGTGCGATATATGATTTTAATGGCATGCTCAATGGATATTTTCCCAAACCATAATAAGTTTATAACTTGATTAGGATAGGCAAAAGATTGATGTATGAAAGCAGAGAGTCAAAAATACAGATGTCAATCATGTCATTATACAGAGTAAACTTAGAAGGTAATACCACTAATTGAACACATTTTATCATTCATCATTTTGGGAGATGCATCAAAGATAAATGCAGGAAAGCAGTTAATAAGCATATTCAAAATATAGTCGATGATGAAATCATAGCATAGAATTGAATTCGATGACACGATTGCAAAAACTAAAGGTCTATATGTTTTGGTGGAAAAAAATTTACAGGAAAACGATTTTACTCCATTTCTCCATGTTCCTCTGTTTTTAAAGGGTGGGAAACAATTTTCCGATAGGTGGAAAGTTACTTTTTAGAGAAGGAAAACCATTTTCCTTTCGTAAAGAAAGCATGCCACATTTTCCTTTTTGCTCTTCACTCCTCTAATTTCTCTCCTCTACCATTCCCCTCCCTTTTACTCCCATTTTCCTTTTTCTCCATAAGTAACATAATAAAAAAACAAAGAAAACCCTTTTCACAATCATGTTTTCCATTGCAAATTATTTTTCTTAGAAAATGGTTTTCCATTGAAATTTCTAATCTTTAGAAAATGATTTTCCATGAAAAATGTTTTCCATCAAAAGTTCAAAACAAATGGAGCCTATGGGTTTTCTAGAATTTCAGCTTTCTTAAGTTTAGAAAATACAAAACTTGTTTTGTAATCCAATCTCCTGTAACCAAGTAGACAGATATTCTTAGTTTGATGGTATAAAAGATTATCTAATCATATTGTTGTATACTAATCAAACTTGCAAGGGTTTATAGCTCTAGAACTCTAGAATGCAGCCATGCAGGGATAACATAGTTATGTACCTGAGAGATCCCCTTTAGAATCGAGCCAATATTTGGAATAGCAAACCAGTAAACGTTTGGATCAATAAGTTGTCGAGTCTACAAATACAACAGTAGAGTTACAAATTTTAAAACAAAATTTATATGTAAGAAAGAATTGCATATGCACCATACAATATACTTGCTACTTTCTTAGTTAACCAGCAATAGGATAGTTCATATGGAAATTTAATAATGAAAAAGGGAGTAGATTTACATACAATAATGCCTGCATTAACCAAGAGAGATATATATTCGTCCTTCATTTTTCCTCCTGCTGATAACAGGGAGTACTGCAACAAGCAAAAGGCAAAATTAAAATTAAAATTAAAATTATAAATAAATAAATAAAATAAAATAAAAAGATTTATGCAAATTCAGAACTTCAGAAGTTAAAATAATACTCTGTAACATAGTTTTGAGATAGACTCAACCAGCTAATACTTCACTCAGGAGAAAATTATTATCAGAGCAGGAAAATTTTAACTCATTGATAGCTGAACATAGAAAGAAATGATTGAAAAATCTACACCCACTCACTCAATAAGTGAAAAATATAAATAAATAAACTTCATTTAGACAAAGAAACTGTGTCAAAAACACAAAGAACATATATAGAAGTAAAAATAGCTACTCGAGTTGCTGGTATTCACGGTTTACAATCACTGAGAGCCACATACACCTTCAACTGAAAACAGCAACAAAGCAAAAAATCACCAACAAATAAAACTTACAAGCTCTTGATGTGAAATGCTTGGCTCTAACTTGGACGTGATAACATGAGACTTGAACCAACCAAACACAGCAAAGTCACTTTCCTTCTTAGTTCCTATCTTCTTTGAAATATTATCTATCTATAAACAAGAATTCAATACAGAAAATCTATTAGAATATAACAATTATTCTAAAGTTCACTAGTCGGCTGTCGGTCTAGCAGATGGAGCCTAGGGAAGGCAAAATTCATCAGTTCACAAGAAGTTTTTACAACATGTTAAGGTTCATTGGTTCAACTCTAGCACTTTAAAAGATGACATTAGTTACAAATCACAAAAAAGAAAAACAAAAACATGCAGAAGTAGATAAATAACCTGCTGTATGTAGTCTTCAAGAAACATAATTGCATGATCATCCTGCCCTGTATTTAGTTTAAAAACACGCAGAACTTTATCCCTCTTCAACAACTGCAAAAAGAGATTAAAAAGGCTCATTAATAACAAAGGAAAAGCTGCTATTTAAATATCAAAAGCAGCTTTAGTCCTGGAAAAGACTTTTATCTCTAAGTTCAGAATTGTTGCAGTGACAACATTTGAGACTAAAACAACCAATAATCTTCGCCGTGATTGCCATAAAAATGTGCAATGGACATAAATGCTTACAATAACAACAAAGCCCTAGTCACAGAATGATTTGGGGTCGACTAACATGAATCGTCATAAGGAACAGTACGATATAAGAAAGGGATGTAAATGCTTACATGAATATAAAGATAACATGTAACAAAAGTCCAGGTCATTGATCATTGACTTAATGTCTCTCCAATTCAAGAGGAAGTATGTAAAAGTGCCAACAGCTGCTTACTTGACAGTAAGAGATAATAGATAATTGACAAAAAAAAATAGTGGGGTTAGGTGATTATCTTCCTTTGTTTTGTAAGAAGTAGCTTTGTCAACCAAAAAACTTTCCAGTGCTCTACTTCCAAGAAGAACAGGCAGAAATAAAAATACTAAAATTTGAGACTGCTTTAAAAAAATTTGTGAAATTGTAGTCATTTGATACAAGGAACCAACTCAATCATGGAGAAGCAAGAATATGGACCGATATTAAGCAATATATCCCACTCTATACATATTCCTAGTGAAGTTAAAATTTCAAGAACTTGAAAAGATCATATCACCAGGGAGGCCTCTTAAAATTGTATTTGCACGGCACTACAAAAATTCATCTGCCACAGTGAGCAAACCAATCTACAACAATTAACAGAACAAAAATTAAACAAGGTTGTAACCAGTAGCATTAGATCAAAATATTGCATGCCCTACATCCCCTACCATATATCTTTGCAATCTTGCAACCATGACTACTCTTAAAATTAATGTCATAATTAACAACTCATAAGTTATGCTCCCAGAACTATAACAATTCCGCAAGGAACTAGCACATAATTGCAATCAAATAACAGCCTATTGAGTTCAATTGTCATTATCATTGTACTATAATTAGGTGTCCCTACTTTGCTAAAGTTAGTTCTTATATTCCCATCATTCTGCACCATAATCACTAGTATTGTACAGATTAATTGACATATTCTAATGTACTTGTCTGCTGCATTTTCATTATTGCAGTAAATAGTATGAATGGATAGCTTTTTCTAATCATTGTAAATTCAAGAAACAGCCTCTCTAGTAGTAATTTCCAAATAATTTAGGGTATTGCGGCTAAGGCTGCAACACTGCTCACTATTTGGACCTCCCCATATCCTATATTAATGATTATATACTTGAATGATGTTATCGTTTTTGTAGATAACTGAACAAGGACAAAAACAAAAATCCGGAATGGAAAAATTAAGACAGCTACTTGGAACCATACAATATCATATGATCCAGAATACATGGGAGAATAAAATAAATCCAAATTAAAAACAAATATGAAAAACAATCAAGGAATCAGACCTCTAATTCTTGGTCAACCTGAGTTCTATCCTTTACGCTGCTATACAGTTGCGAATGTAAGATGAAGGGTTTGACAGTTACCTGAGCATAAGAAAGCATAAAGTCAGTTAGCAAGACCTATAAATCCCAGTTTGCTTTCCCATTAAAAATATAAAGAGATTAAATTCACTTGCAAAACTTTCCTATGAAATTATCAAGAAACCAAACTTATACAATAACTCCAATGAAATTTCCTTGGAAAAGTGTAGCCAATTAATAAACTACCAGTTTCAAGTTTAAAATCAATAAGGTGCAATGTATCTACCAGCATCATACATGTTTCTCTACATTTATATACAAGTATATTTTCAAAAAAAATATAAATAAAAAATCGATGTTTCAAATTCAAGAGAGTGCAGATCAATTTCAAATCAAACAATCACAAATTCACAATCAATTGAACATATCATCAAGATAGAGAAACACACATTTGAAAGCCATATCTTTCAGCACAAAATATAAATTCAACAATGAAACACATTAACACCGCAAAAAATCCCTAGAATAACCTCTGCATTCCACATGAAAATCTATAATTAAGCAACCTATCAATCTAACACTGAAAATTGCAATCTAAAGCACATAATTTGGATTTGATCATCAACACACATACTAATTAAAATCATTAAACAAAAATCAATAAGTAGAACAAAGCTTGAATTTGAAGAATCATGATACCAAACCTTCTCAAGCTTGGGGAATTGAGCCTGCATCATCCGAAGAGCAACTAAAGTATCGCTAAACGTAAGACTCTTCTCTGTAAAAATCAAAAAAAAAATCAAAAAAAATCAAATTATAGAAATTAGGGCTTAAACCTAGGTCAAAACCTACGAATCAATCGTAAATTCAATTCAACGAAAAAGATGAAGATGAAATTGCGATTACAAATTAAAATTCGAGAAGATAATGAAAAAAGGTTGAAAATTGTGAACTTACCAAAAGAGAGGAGTTCATCGTGATCGTCGTTGAGTTGCGAGTCGGAATCAAAGTCTGTAACTCGTTTTCGCTTCTTATCAGCATTGGAGGAGGAAGAAGAAGGTCCAGTTTTATCCTCCATTGTAGTATTTCAGCGAAACTAAAAAGGACTAGAAAGTAAAAACCAAAGCAAAAATAACAAACAAAAAGGAAAACAAGATCCTAATGATCATCGTTTTTAGCACGGTCTTTACGAGCCCAAGCTACTCCGCTAAGGTCCACTAGAAGGGAAGGAATCCATATCCAATTGCTCGACAACTAGATTCATACTTGACCCGATCTGATGAGCTGCATCAACCACAACTCGTCCAGGAACAAAGTCAGATAGCCCAGACTGTGTCAAAGGATAAGACCCTGTCAAATCAACACAAACATCACGACCACGATCCTAAGAATAAAGTAATAGATCTGCAGGTCTAAGGGCCCCGTCGTTCCCTCCAGACAACCTAATGTCAACCTCCTTTCTAGCTGAAATCCCAGATCGATAACAAACATCAACAAGAGTATCCCGAACAACATTATGCCGATGTTTAATACCCACCATACCAGCACACAACACCGCGTGATCACCGAAAATATCCCTAGTGAAAACCCTTGAACAAGCAGTGCACAGCGTCGAAACAGAGAATAAAGGAACACCCAAGCGGTAGCACAACACACATTGGTAAGTCTTTGCATTCATCGTCTGACCCAACCCTGAAATAGGAACTTCCCGAAGCCAAGCAGAGGTGTGATCTCCTTGCCGCGATTTCCACAATGCTAATTGATGAGGAGATAAAGAGAAGGTGGGTTTTGCAAATGCGGTAACCTTTGTGAAATATATATCTGCCAATTTCTTCATGAGTTTAGGGGCAGCGACCTCACTAGGGTTACACAAAATGTCAGATTCAACCGTTCCATTAAACAGATACAACGCATCCGCGAAGGCTCGACCAAGGCCAACAACGTCAGCATGCCGTAGAAGCTTTGTCTGCAACCCAGTAGACTATAACCGAGAGGCAAGAAAAGCATAATGACGTACATCACCTGCGGAATAAACACCAAGTCCGCCAAACGCAAATGGTAAGGTGGCAAGCCGCCATTGCCATTCGCCAAACCCAGGCCCCGAAGTAGTAATGATACGATCCAAGGAAGATCGAAGAGCCTCGTCGAAAGTGCGCTGAGCCACCTCAAAAGTACTAGGAGGACAAGTACGCAAAGCAAAGTAGAGTTTAGAAACTCCGGTACATGCCCTAAGCAACAACAACTCACACGGGGGATCATCGAGCTTAGCAACCCTATCCATTAGAGCAATGGTCTTGGTCATCCTCTACATCACAAGGTCACCTCCAAAACCGGGATCGGAACTAGCGGGATCACCAAGCAACTTAACACCATGTGAAGGTCGAGCAATATTAGGCGGAAAGACACCCACAAGCCTGCTTCGAGGGTCCTCTGAAGGCCAGAAAACTTCAGTTTTTTCCACATTGAGATGTAACCCAAAACGAGGCCCTTCTTTCATAATCAACTGCAGAACCTTCCCCACCACCAAAGTGTCACCAATAACAGTGTCGTTATCCAAATACCACGCCTGAAGACATAAGTTAAAAGCATCTCTGATTTTACAAACCAGGGGCTGTAAAACCAAAGCAAAAAATAGAGGATCAAAGGGATCACCCTGCTGCACTCCCTGACACGGCCATAAAGATTGGTCCTAATAATACAATCTAGCTAGATTAGAATAGTAGAATTCACCCCATCGAGAAATGCCCGGACAACGACGACGAACTTCACGCCACATGACCGTACGATCAACAAGATTGAAGGCATTTTGAAAATCTACCAACAACATAGAAAGACCAACATCAGAACCTCGGTCCTCAATCAACCGATTCACAGCATGAAGTATTGTCTCACCACCTGAAGAAACCCTAACACCAAATTGAAGACCATCAAAGTAACTTCCTAAAGACTGGCTAACCATAACAACACCCACATTCGAAACCGGACGTCGCTAAATAGTACCCACAGCTATAGGACGAATACCACCACCGGGCTTTGACAAGTGGTGTAAGAGGAGCACTAGCAATATACTCTCTTAGTTCCATAGGACACTTTCTAGCTAGAAAGAGATTAACTACCCCAAAAATAGAGTCAACTAACTCATCTGATATAGCCACAGCAGCACCACTCAAGCAATCCATAAGGTGCTGAGCACCTAAACCGTCCCTACCACATGATGTGCCACGTGGAAAACTCTTAATCCGATCCAAAACAACAGCAGAAGTAGTAACAAGATGAAGGCCATCAACAGGTATATCAGGCAAGGTTGGAGCTGGAGAAGTAGGGTGTTTAGATTGTAAATTCGCGAGAGTGGCGTCATTATAAGGAGTTATGCCTGAAGAAGAAAAAACCCGGACTGCAGCAGTATCCCTCACAAGTTGTAAATTACCACCTGGGGCCATCACAAATCTTCCTACGACATTGCTTGATATCACGCTCCTCCAAATCAAGGTCCTCATCATCAACCACTGATAAAGTAGAAGAATCCTCTGCCAAAGTATCCCTCACAAGTTGTAAATTACCACCTGGTGCACTCCAAGAACAAATAGCACGGGAAATACTTTCTTCTTGATGCCAACGTTTTACCAAAGACCTAAACTCAGAGCTGCTCCGCGGACGAAAGGATTTTAAGGGTGCAAAGAGGTAACACCAACAAAGAGACCCAACTAGAAATGTCATTAGGCCTAGAGATCACCTTATCAAGGGCACCATTCAAAACCCGAGAAAACCCCAAACGACACTTGGGAGGTATAGACTTCACAGTACGAAACCCCTTGGAGAACATTCAATCAAGAAGAGCCACATCAAAACCACAATTTTGATCTTGCACCAAACCACCTATAATATATGCGTCCAAGCTGAGCCGGAGAAGAGGGAGCTTGCAGCTTGGAGAAACCATGAAGCACAAAACGAACAATACCATCTCCTTCATCCGGGGGTGACACAATCTCACTTGGACTATGACGACACTTAGTACGATGCGTATGCATTTTGTAGCAAACCCCACATAACTAAATCCCCAAACACGAAAAAAGTAACTTCAGCCTCAATAAAACAGCCAAATTAGAAGTAAGAGAATGTCGTGTGATATCCCGCGCATCAATACAAAAATGATGATCACAAAGATGCTTGATAAGAGAAATTTTTGTAAGACCATTGCCACTTCCATCTTGACAACCACTAAGACCCATAAAGGGGCAATGAAACTTCACCCGAGAAGCCGACATAGCTACACACAGCCACCACCAAAAACTACCCAAGCCGCATGAACAAAAACAATCTTATGCTGAAAAAAGCACCCAAACTGACCTAAAATGAACTAGAAAAAGGCACCCAAGCTGACCAGAAATCAAAACGTTGCAAACATGCTGCCACCACGCAAAACCTGCCACCTGAACCTCTAAAAAACAGCGTGAAAACTGAACCTAAAATACCAGAATAACTAGCCAAAAACTGACCAGAAAAACTAGTCCAAAACCGAACCTTAACCAAAGCTAAAACGCCCAGCAACTGCCTCAATTATGCCGGAAAACTGACCCAAAAGAAACTCCCACCGGAACCTGCTATAAACCACCTGAAACTAGCCCTTAAACCGCCTGTCGAACCGCCGGAAACAGCAACGATTACGCCTGAAAATAGCCCTATAAATGCCAGAAGAACGCACTACAAAACTGCACCAATGACGTCGGAAAACCGCCTATAATTCGCCAAAAAAACCACCTGGAATTCACCTAACTGATAACCCAACACCTGATCTGACCTTATTAACAAGTGCATACCATTGATTTAGGTGAATGAAAACATAAGTAGATGTATACCATCTTTAACATATGTTAATAGTAGAAAGATAAAAGACAATAGTTTAACATCTTCAAATTATTACAACCACATATCAAAATAGGAACATAATTAAATAAGAGTTTAACATCGTGGTGAATTAACCATCTACTTTCATATGATCTTCATTTTCATCATCTTTATTGTCGCTTTAATCTTCATTGTCATCACCTTCATTGTCGCTTTCCGATCGATTAGCCCTCCAAATTCGACGTGCTATACGATGTCGCACTTTGGCCATACTATCTTTACGCCATTGTGCAAACATAGTTGAATCTACTACTCCTATATTCGCATCATGTTGAATGATTGGTATATCAAGCTTATACGTCCGAATAAAATTATGTAGTGTGCAAGTGGCTACAATGATTGACATTTGACTCTTTTGTGACACTTGTGGCATGTTATCTAATATCCTCCATATTTTTTTCAACTGTCCAAACGAACATTCCACCTTCATTCTTAATGATGAATGTAGCTTATTAAAATGTTCTTTTAATCACCTAGGTGGTATTGTTCTAAAATTAGGCATATGTACTCTTACTCCCCCGATGTATGGCGTTATATATCTAAGAGTATTTGGATATGCAGAGTCTGCCAAATAATATTTTCTTGAAATATATAGATTTTAGTATATTTTACACAAAATAAGTGTTCTTATTACGATTGGTAAATATTAAAAATTGTTATTAATTGTTATTATTATTATTAATTATTAATTATTATTATTATTAAATATTAATTCTTCATATTGTGAATTATTAATTTTTATTATTATTAATTATTATTATGAATATTAAATATTAATTATTATTATTAATATTAATAATTATTAATTATTATTTTGAAACAGAGCAGTGCAAAGCAGATTTGAGCAGAGCAGAGCAGCTCAAAAGAACAGGGCCTTAGTCAATCCTCCATACGAATGGCATCTCTAAAACAATAGCTAATAGCAATCTCACACTCGAGCATTGACAGATTATGTGAATGTATGGAGAGAGGACGAAGCATCCTGAACTCGCCTATGTCCTCCTCTCCATGCCAATAAGAGCCTCACAAGACAGCCATTCATATTTGATATTTTAGTGGTCGTTATATTATCAGTCATTTTAGCTCTTGTTTTGTCATCAGTAAAAAGTTCATTACTTCGTATTGAATACTACATAATTAGGAGATCTAGTTATGTAACGTAATTTTGTTAGGTGCACGACACGCCTATCATTCAAAAAGCGTTAACGGTATGGACTAATGGACTATATTGTGGTAAAAAGAATGATTATAAGGTACAAACTTTATCTCCTAGCTACAACTCCCAGTAGGTTACAGCTTATTTGAATCCAATGTTTGCATCAGTTTTCCCTAGTAATAAACTCAGTACTTTTAGCCTTCAACAATACCTTCCCCACACAACCAAAAAGCAGAGCAAGTAAGTATAAAATATGCAAGGAACCAAGGAATTAAATTTTGGAATATATCATGGTAAGACTTGTTCTTAGAATTACATCCTTAAAACGTCTACATCTCAATAATCTTTAGTCTGCATTCAAGATCACAGAACATACGACAGACAAAGGCCATTCCATTACATATATTAACTAACAATCCCTAATGCTCCATAGCACTAATAAGCTGATTTGCAAGAGTCAAGCACCAAACACACGGCATGCCATCCGTTATCAGTACTTCTGAGGAGCCTGTTGGGTAGGCAAGAGTCCAAAGCGCTTCTTTAACAGAACTCTCTGCCTCGAGAATTTGTCATCAGGGGAAAAGCGAGCTGCATAGTCAATACATAACATAGTCAGGGGATGGATCATGAATGCATTTTATCAAAAAGTAATCAAAACCCAAAATGCCAAAGTAAATGGTTTATTAACTTCAGGAGTTCAGGTACACAGGAGGTACCCGAATTTAGATAAGCTCGAGAACATCAAAGAACTACTGAAATTCAGATGGACAAACGGTAATAACGACTTAAGTTTTCAAAGACCAATCCGACCAACCAACTACTGAAAATAGTCCTATTAGCAAGTCGAAGCAATACCAAACCAAAAGTTTTAACAATCGGAATAACATGACAGTAATCATCCACTAATGCATAACAACTCGAAATCAACCTTGAATTCCATTAACAACTATGACACCATAACATTATCAGCATAACAATCGAAATAAGCCTCATCAGGCTACACAAATGCAACGATAAAAACTTAATCATCAACAAAATTCAATCAAAATCCGTTTCATGTTCTTCAAAAAGGCCTTCTAGGGTTTACTAGCACATACCAACAACAACAATAACAACATAAATTGTTCAATTAAAACAGATGCAATGTGTTTAAGGTGGTAGCTGCAATTTTACCTGGGTGAGCTGATTGTGTGGCTTTACCAACAGGTGATTCCTTCTGCAATATCACATGAAATCAAATCAATACTTGGAATTAAGAACCCTAAAATTAGAATTTCATAAAATTAATTAATCACCCAACAAGGGTGTTCCAATAATAATGTGATATTATCATATTATATTCAATCCATGCTTCATTTTTCATCAAATCTTTCACTACAACAAGCAACATATCATCAAAGCACCAATATTATTTTACCCATTCTAATTAAAATAAAAGGCACCCAATGAAATTATATGCAAAATAAACAAAAAAAATCAAATTAAAAACGATTTGAGCTAACTAAAAAAAGGGAAAGAAAGAGAGAAAGAATGAACCTTGGTAGTGTAGACTTTGTCGCCATTATCGTTGATGTAGAATTGCAAATACATTTTTGATAATTTCTTTAACCTACCCAATGAAAAAAAAAAAATCAAACCACACAAACAAAATATCAGGAATTAGATAAATTAAAAAAACTGAAATAGCTGCGATTTAGAAGAAGAAGAGAAGAAAACTCACTGACGAAGTGGTTTTGACGACTGTCCTCTGCAATTCTACGCAACAAGAAAGAAAAGCCCTAAAAATGGCTGATATATTTATATGATTTGAAGTTTCGGGATTTTTTCTCTTCGCGGGACAATTATGGGCCTTCTCTATGCTTGGGCTGTCAATATAATTCGATGGCCGTTGTTCGGTCCGTTTGGAAAAGTTTAAGGGTGGGCACAGTTGCACAGATTGTGCCGTGTAGGTCCACGTGTTATGCAAGAGTATCTTGTGCTTAGACAGCTAAGAAATAGTCATAATGGGTTAGGCACGTATCGATCTTTCAAAATCAGAGCTCATGCACGCTACGTTCACATGTCGTGCCGTCCCAACCAACTCCCCTAATCGTGTTTTCATTTTTGTTAATTTGGTTAAAATAAGCAAACCGACATTGAGACAGCCCATCGTGCTCATGTCTAATTCTTGCTAAATTTTGAAATTGATGCCCATTCAGGACTCACGCCTCACCGGCATGCCTCTTCTGCCATGTTGGGCTAATGATGGTCTTATGCTTGGTCGAGCTATGTAGGAGTAGGACTACGAGGCACCAGTTGTGGCTGCTTAAGTGCTTATCAGGGCCGGCCCTGAGGGTAGGCCTCGAGTGCGACCGCCTAGGGTCCATGCCAGAAAGGGGCCCAAAGTTTTTTTAAAAAAAAAAATCAATTTGCATACTAGTAGAAAGCTACCTCGTACTTTTTACTTGTTTAAGAAAAAAAAAAAAAAAAACTACTCCTTTTTAAAAAAATCATTATTGCATTTATTATGCAATTCACATTAAATTACTTAGCTATTAATTAGGTGGAGATTACAATACAATATAACCTCTTCACTTCTTCTAATCTTCCGTTTCTATGAGTATCTACTCTAGAATATTAATTTTTTCAATTACACCGTTTCATATTTATTCAATTATCGAAATTCAAGCCTTTTAATTTTAGCTAATAATATTATGGCAAGGGTTAATATACTAAACAAAATAAATAGCAACAAAAATAATTCATCTATCACCAAATATTTGAAATATTTCACACACCCGGGTGTACCGTGCACCCAACTAATCCAAAGTTAGTTTTTGCTCTTTATTTGATGATTAAACGAGAACAAAATGCTCATGGGTGTACCATGCATCTGGGTGTATATAACAATCTCTCCCAAATATTCAACTCCCATATTCTTATTGTTGATTGTTTATGATGAATTTCACGGCGGCGTCGACGACTTGATCTTTTTCTTTAGTTGCCGATTAGACAAAGGTAATACAATTACACAATTCTTCCTCTGTTTTTTAATACTCCGTATTATGCAAAGTTATTATTGTACTGAGACTTACTATTTAAATAATATAAGTTATTTTCATTGTCTTTTATCTAAATCTATTGTATATAAAAAAAAAATTGTTTCTATAAGGGGCCCTTTTCTTATATTATGCCTAAGGCCCATAAATTTTCAGGATCGGAGCTGGTGCTTATGGCTAAGACCTACGGCATTGTTTACTGGTTTTACTTTTATTTATGTCTTTTTACCACCTCTCTCTGTCACTTAAAATTTAAAAAATAAAATGTAAAAACTAAAAAATTCAGCAATAAGCCCAATAACTCAAGCCCTATTGACCTTAATGGAGTTCTCTTTCTCTTCAAGACAATTTTTAAAGCAAGTGCATGCTTTTCTGCTCCAAGATTGAGCTTATAGTGCCCCTTCTCAAGCGGTTATTAGTTTATTACCCTGAAACTGAAACAAGTAAAAGGAAAAAAAATTACTGCACTTCTCTTTGAGATATGTGAGGAACTAACCTTATAAACAATTTTTATTTACAAATTACAATTGATACATCCGTCCAATAATTCTGTAATTCTATTGCTAAAAGAATGCACTTCACCTAAAAATTTCCTACCTATAGCCAAAATTGTGAAATGCGACGGGGTAGCTCTCTACTTCACAATCTTCTTGCTCCATTCCAAAGGATATCCATGGATGCAGCTCAAGAACGTGACAACTGATATTCAGGCTTTAGAACCCAGACTGAACCATTCCGATTTTTCTCTAGTATAGCAATTTCTTTCAAAAGATTTTTGAACAAGGGTAAATCATTTGAAGGAATTCTATCTCTAAAATGTTCCACTATTGTGGAAGAACTGGTGCTCCCACCATTATTTTGGATGAAAGTGCAGATATTTCGGATTAAAACTTCTGGTGGGACCCCACTGAGATTCTGAGATGCCCGAGAAGGCCTGGTTACACTGGAACCTGCCCTGTTAGCAGAGCTGGAAGCCAAACTAAACTGATGTTCAAGCCCATCACCGACTGCACTAGCCTGGTTCCCTCGAATTTTGGCGAGCAACTCAGATGAAGACAATGCTTTACCAGAAGCAGCTCCTGCAACAAATCCATTTGTACCAGTTTTGGGTGCCTCATCTTCTGATCTGGAGTTTCTTACCAACTGAGAGTTCACTGTTGACCCAAATGTCCGGCGAACAGATGAAGGTGCACCGGCAGCCCCAGATTTTCCTGTCCATGTTGGAACAGATATGTTCTCTCTGCTTCTAAGCATTCGCGACTGACGAAGTGCTTCTGCTGCTCTCTGTGCAACTTGGGAAGCCTGCTCCTCGAGCCTCATTTTTTCCTCATCATGGGCATCCATGATAGCATCATGATTTATAGCACTCTGAAATAGAAAAATAGGATGGAAATTACTCGAAACATATCAAAGATGATATACCGTAATACATCACAATGCAGCAACGCACAGATCCAAATGCAAATTGTTTAAGTGTAAATGCAAAAAATTGCATACTCTGTATATCAAAGATGATATACCATAATACCAGCAAGAATCAGATCAGACATGTAATTTTTTGGACATATATATTTCACAGCCTAAAACTCAAACATGTAATGATGTAAATGGCAAAAACATCACAATTCAAAACCAAAAGTATCCAGTAAACAATTAAACATACAGAAATAGCCTAACAGGTTTATAAAACTTACATGTATCCCATGTGTGTCAAAAAGATTCTTTAAGAAATTTGTTTCTTCGTCAGTGTTTCGACCATTGTCAGCACCTTCTTTCTCTTTATTTCCACATAAATCCTGTTGCGGGCTATTTTCTCTGTCTGTGTCATTTGCACATGCAGTTGTTGCTCCAGAGCAATTATCTTTTTGCTGGTCTTCTTTATCAATGCTAATAACATTCAATTGCTCAGGTAATTGACCAAAAATATGTGAAGTCTCAGTTGAGCCAGCATGTTCTTCATCAGTTAAAACAAAAAGATCCTTCAAATCTCTTGCTTTAAAGAATCTTCGCTGCTGCGGGTTTTTCAAGATCTTATTGGTCAGAAAATGTTTGTATATCTGCCTATGATACACTTTCTCCTCTATAGTACCACGTGTGATTAACCTAAAAATGGTTACATCACGTGTCTGACCAACACGCCAAGCACGCTCCCTGGCCTATTATGAGTAATAATGTAGTCAGACATCATGGTTATCAGCATTGAGAACAAAAAGAGTCATAAACTTTTCTCTTTTGACATGAAAGGGAAATTTCATTATAGTAAAGCCATACAGCATGGCATACACTACTAACACAACCAATCAGAAAAATAGCATTGGGGACAATGTTTTCAAAAACTTCCTTGAGAAAACATATTTAGAACAAAACCCAATAGCAAGAGCAACAAATAATTCAGTGTATGAATGAAAAATATCAGGAAAGTCCTTAAACGAGCAAGTATACATAACATGAAATAATATACACTGACCTGCATATCTGTTGATGGATTCCAATCTGGATCAAAAATTATCACCCTGTTTGCCCCAGTAAGATTTGTCCCTAAACCTCCAACTTTGGTTGTGAGTATGAAAATAAATACATCATTTGAATTATTAAATTCATCAATTAATGCCATCCTCTGTTTAACTGCGGTAAGACCATCCATTCTCCTGTAGCTATACTCATTGGCAATCAGAAAATTTTCAAGGATATCAAGCATCTGCTGAGTTTGTGCGAAAAGAAGAACACGATGACCCTGTTCTTTCCACATATTCAGTACTTGAGCAACAACCTTCATCTTCCCACTGCGTTCAGGATTCCCATAGTCTGGATTACGTGAAGAATGCTCTCTTTCAAGGAGATCAGGATGGTTACATATCTTACGCATCACATCAATACCATAGAGAGAATTTCTATTTCCATCAAATATTTGCTCCACCTCAGAGCTGGCTAGGAAAGCTTTATAAACAGAGCGCTGCTCAGGAGTCAGACTGCAGAAAAGGACATGTTCAGTCTTCTTTGGAAGATGGGCATTCACATCAGACTTCATACGACGCAAGAGATAAGGCATGATTAGATCACGCAAGACAACTGCACACCTGGTCAATGAGAAATCAAGGACTTACATTAGTTACATTAAGTCAAGGATAGACTTTTCATTGCTATGTGGTGACATGTAAATATGACAACTCTAAACAACTAATTCTTTAACATCTTAATTCCATCAATCCATTGTAATACATAATACGACAGTTCAGGATAATTCATACATCAGCCAACACCAAAATCTACACCCTGCATTATTGCATAAGTAAATAAAAGGTGAAACGTTAATAAGTGCTCCATGTAAATTAAGTCAAAAAAGAGACAGATAAGTCATTATTCTTCAAAATTTCAGAGAAAAACAAACCTGTAAGCTGTGGACACTTGCAATGGAGATGCATTAGCATAACCCCCGACTTTTATGGGCACAGCGAACTCTGCCTCAAAAACAGGTAAGACTCCTAATTTTCCAGGGAAGACAAAATCAAACAAAGACCACAATTCCGACAGTTTATTCTGAATTGGTGCACCAGTCATTATGATACGATGAACTGTCTGCAGCTGCTTGCACACAATAGTAACTTCTGCATTAGGATTCCTAATACGGTGACCTTCATCAAGTACTGCATAACCCCATTCAATGTCCAGTAGTTTCTCCCCCAGTATACGAAGTTGTTCGTATGTTGTAATAAGCAATCCAGACTCTGATCTCAAAACCCGATTAATCAAGGAATCCCACTTCTTTGCACTTCTTGAGGAGGGAACTTTATCCTGATCACTTTCAAATGACCCTTCACTTTCAT